CACCTATTCTCGGAATATTTGATCGGACCTTGCACTGTTATGTTATGGCCCAGACCGTTCAACTCCCGATGTTGCAATTTAATTTTAACACTTATTGTGAAAGTGCAGTTCTAGACTCAGGATTCACAATTATCAACAGTATCAGTTGCTGTTGCTTCCTCTCAAGAAAGCTACCGGACTCACTGGTCAATCACAGGTGGCAGTAATATCAATTACTTGGCAACTTCCAATGTTAAGTGGGTAAAAAATCAAATATTTCAAATGTGGGATCTGAGTCAAAGTCTGCTGTTTGGGGTAGTTCACCAGTGAAAAGTGGGTAAAAATCGAACGAAAACTTTTCTTAGTGGGAATTATGACATGTATTTATGTGGAACCTTATACTTCCTAAAATGGCAATTCGGTCCTGATTTAGCCCCCCTAGAATGGTAATTCATAGAAAATAAAAAGTGGGTAAAAATGAATTCAGAGCAATCTTGATGGAAGTCTTGACAAATCCACATATACATGTCAGTGAAAACTAAAACCAAACTTGTTCCAACAAAAAGTAGGTAAAAATCAATTTTTGTAGTCTGACTGAACTAAGGGCCAGGGTTAGTTTGGAAACAGCCTTATCTGCATTCAGTCCCATCCAGTTTGAACTGAAACCCTGAACCAGACCTGGCTATCACTAGAATCTTACATGAGTACCTTCTGGAATAGTCATTTATGAAAAATAAAAAGTGGGTAAAAATGAATTCTGAGCTTTTCTTGATGGAAATTATGACAAATCTGAATCTACATGTCAGACTTGTCCCAATAAAAAGTGGGTAAAAATCAATTTTCATAGTAGGAATTTAGCAGACTTTGGATCTGAACCAAAGTTCCATGTTTGTATTCACCAGCAAAACTGAAATTGATTGAATATGCAGTACTTAGCACTTTCCGAGAATGGTAATTCCTTGACATTTTAGCCTAATTAACAGAGATTCAACTGGAATTACTTCCTGGAATAGTCTAACAAATCCACAGCCAAAACTAGACTTGTCTTAATAAAAAGTGGGTAAAAATCAAATAAATATATATAGGTATGACATACAAATTCAAGAGTTGACACTTCCCGAAATGGCAATTTCTTGACAGTTTTGGATCTGATTTTGGCTTAGATCACTTCCTAAAATGGTAATTTCTTAAATAAAAGAAATACATAAAAGTAGGTAAAAATAGAATCAAATATTAAGTTTGATGTTTGTTCAGGCTGTCAAATCTGGCTTAATGTGCCTGCCAAAAGAGGACTTGGCTTGTTTTCTTAACCAAAGCTTGGTGCTTAGGCCTCAAAAGTCTGGATTTATATGCCAATCAGAACCAACTCAATAAAAAGCTCACAACCATGTCTACAGTGCCAAAACCAGACTTGATCAGAATAAGCCCAATAAAAAGTGTATAAAAATCAAATAAAAATATATATATTAATCAAAGCTTAGAGTTAAAAGTGGGTAAAAATCAAACAACAACAGTGGTTTAAAACCATCAGTAATGGCTTAATGACCTGATTCAACCCTGCACCAACGATAACACCTCTCAACTTGACTTTAACCTGCTCACCTTGCTTGCAGGCCTGATGACTTATCTGTTTTGTTCCGGGCATGTGTTTCTAAGGAGAATCTTGCATGACCCAACCTGAAGCCTGATGATATATAAGATCTTAAGAAAGATTGGTATTTAGAGCAAAGCAGATCAAGATCAGACATCTTCTTGAAAAGGCAATTCTGAAGAATTGATGATGATATCATTTACATCAATCGGAATTGATTTCTGAAGTTCTATTAGCTTACCTTCAACAAGAAATTGTATAGAACAATACTTAGTTGGAAGGTAAGACTTGATAACAAAAGTAGATAAAAATGAACCAAACCTCGGCCCGGGTTCAGCCGTTATAATTCTGACAAGTTGACAACAAAAAGTAGGTAAAAGACTATAAGCTAGAGTACTTTACCTGAACACTATTTTTAAAGGAATTCAAGGAATGTGACCTAGTTGATGTGGCCATTCCCAATTGAAGTACTTCAGAAATCACAGTGGGCACCTCGGGCCATGACAGTTGGGCAGCTGTCACAAAGTTTCATAAGGCAAACGGGTTTTGTCGGGCTTTGCCAGCCGGTCACGTGACCTTATCGCAGGCAAACGCCTGCGGCCAAAAACGGAAATTCACATTCCAACTGCTATTCTATAGCAAGAAATGCTCCGATTTCGCTCAAATTTCAGGAGGACGTGCTTACGTAATCACTCCGTCGACTCAGGCTTTCGTTGGTAGGGAAATCAGCCCCGAAATATATGATTTTCCGAAGGTGTGTTGTTTTGCTTATTCCTGGCATTCTGGGCCAGGGGGTGAGCCGATTCCCTCCAGATTTTCAGCGCTTCACGTGGTGACACATACCACTCACTTCGCCGCTTCTGATTCCCCAAAGAATGCTTTACTCCGCCGTAATTTCATTTAACACCCCAAAGTTCTGTATTTCTCAGCGGTAAAATCGTACCATCTCGGGATGAAACGTACTGGGCATCAAGGGACATCACCCCTGATGTCACTCGCTTGAAGATCTGGGCGCTCCGCTGTCTAGGTATGTCGTATTTCTCTTCCAACTTCCCGTCTTTATTTCTCAAAACTTGGTGCATTGCAGCATGTTCTCAGGTCTGGAACTTGTCCGAGCAAGCAGTAGCATGATACTTCATGTATTCTCATCAGCTATTTGCCTAATACATCGTCGGAAAGCTCTCTAAATGGCACAAAATCGGATTCCACGCCAATTCCGGCAGTGGCGAGATCGCCCAGGTATGATGCGTGTATCCGGAGAGCGATCCCCGTGTATGTCGTAACGTGCCTGTCCCGAGCGCCGACGGGCACTGGGTATAAAACCCAGCCCCAAGTCGGCATTTCCATCAATCCCCTCCTCCCTTTCCCTCTCTCCCACTCTCCTGCTCCTCCAAGTTGACGCTGACAATGTTGCTGTCGTCGTGCCCGTCGTCTTCCTCATTCTAACTTGTGCTGGTCGTTGTCGGCAGGTGACCGGTGAGTGGCCTTTTTGATTTTCTTGTCATCTTGCTAAATATTCGCGTCGGCTAGTTGTTGCCGCGCTCGTGGTCGTTGTCGTCTACGGCCTCAATCACGGCGGTTGAGAGGTTCTTGATTCGCTGCTGACCGGAGTTGCTGTTCTGCGTTACTTGGGCCGCTCCAGCATCGGAAAAGTACGCCGGCATCTTGATCCTCTTCCCGTCTTGCTGATTCGTCTTGGTTGGCCAGCTCTGCCGCGCTCGGGAATCCAGCGGCGACAACCAGCTTTGTCGAACGTGTGTTCCGCAATGGTGAGTGCCGATGCTTGCCGTTGTTGTGTCTGTTTTGAATTTTCCCAGTTTGCGCCGAGTTGCTTGGATTCGGCTGGTGGCCGTTGCAGACAGGGCGTCAAGGACGGTGTTCGTTCCATCATTGAGGAGGCTAACACGCCGCGGCTGTCGAAGTCAGCGCGATTTTGATTGGCGTTGGTCGCGTTGAGTTGGCGGGAAGAGCGAGCACATTGTCGGTGTCGTTGCCGGGCAAGAGTATCGGGGACTGTCTTTGGTGAGCATTAACTCAAAACTGTAGACAACCCCATGCTGACCTTGTTCCAGCCATTCTCGGACTTGCTGTTCGTCTCCATCGTCATCCCTCCCGCCCACGCAATTCGTTTCTCCTCCTCCTCCAGTGATCCGTTTGCGGCTGGAGGCGTTGTTTGCCATCCAAAGGTGAGTGGCCTTTTTGATTTGCTTCGCATGTTGCTAAATATTGCTAGTTGTTGCCGCGATGGGGCCGAGGGCGATAGGGCTGCAAATCGGGGTAAGTCATCCCATTCTTCGCGTAAGTTCATGATCTCACCTTGACCAGAAGTATTCGGCGCGTTCAGCAGGCCGGACTCGGCGTTATTTGGAGTTGTAATCGCAACAGACGGCAAAGGTGAGTCGTGTTCTTGATTGTCTCGGCATCTTGCTGAAGTAGTCTTCAAGATATTGTCAGCCGAGCGTTGCCTCCTTCTTCAAGAGCGCCGAAGCAGGCTTTAAATCTGGTCTTGGTGAGTTATCATTCATCGCGCAATGTCACGTTCTCACCATGGCCAAAGGCTTTCGGCGCCAAATGGGCCGGGCTTGTCGTTGCTGCCGTCTTTGGCTTAGACGTTGCGTGACTTATTCAAGCCGACCTCCAAAGTTGTCCCGTTCTGGCGCGATGCATACTTCTGCGCGCGGGGCCGGACTTGTCGCTGTTGATAGGTGAGTTGTCGATATCATCTTTTCCGATGTTGCCTGACCTGTTCCAGTCCAGCTTTATTGGCTCGGCGTTGTTGGTCGTTGTCTTTGCTCATTCGTCGCGTTGGGTTGTTGCCGCGGTGGTCATCGGCCAGAGAAACACGTTGAGCAAAGGTAAGTCCGCTTGATTTGTCGTCGCCGTTTTTCTGATTCGCGTTGGCTGTCGTAGACAGTGTCGCGCGAGTTGCGCTTGAAGGCATCTGGTGGACTGTCGTTGACGACAAGTTGGTGGGGCTGTGGAGGCAACGGATGTGGTTGCTTGTCGGTGAGTTGTTATTACGCCGCCGCCGTCCTTATAGGCTGACTTGCCCAGTTTGCGCCGACTTGCTGTCGGCCCGAATTAAACTCCGGTTGCAGGACCGGGACGGTGGTAGATTTGTCGTCGGTGGAGCAGCACGCGCGGCCGTTTGACATGGGCAACTTAGTATGCCAGAGGAAAAGGGATCAGATCATCGTCGTCGTTGGTGTCGTTTGTCGCCATGTTGATGCTCGTGCTGAGTGTCTCCGCAGAAAGTGCTGTCCTGGTGGTTGGAGATCGAGCGTGATCGATCGGCGCGGTACCGTGACGCCGAAGACTCGCGTTCCAAAACTTGAAGACTAACACGCTTGAACAGCGGAAGACGAAACTGGAGCTGTAGCACGTGAAAGAGGGCCCACGGCCGACCTCTGCGCGGCCGTCGCTGTTCGACATGACGGGCAGGGCAAAGTGGGACGCGTGGACAAACACGGGCGGGGCAGTCACGAGCAAGGCAGAAGCAGAGGCGCGGTATGTAGCAATCGCGGAGAGTCTGGGCTGGAAGGGACCTTTTGGTGAAGACAACAACTGGGACAACGAAGACAGCGGAGGCGGGGGCAGCGGGATGGGCACGGCGGTGAGCGCGATGGCCCGCCCTGAGGCTGTGCAGGACAACAGTCTGCATGGGCTGGCGGTGGCGAATCGGGCGGACGAGCTTGCGCTGCTGGATGGGTCAGGCGTCGACTGGGACGCGCGCGATGAATTCGTGTGTTTTTTTATTAATTTTATTTGTGTGTTTGCTTACGAAGACAGGGCTACACGGCGCTGCACCTCGCAGCGGACAGGGGCCACACGCTGGTGGTCCAGCTGCTGCTGCAGCGCGGCGCGGACCGCAACATCCAGGTGGCATTATATTATTTTTCATTTGTTTATTTCTAAATTCTAATCGTGGCAGGACGAGGACGGGCTGACGGCGGCAGAGCTCGCGGAGGCGGCGGGGCACGACGGAATTGTACGCATGTTGGCTTCGTAGTAGTATATATTATAGCTGGTTAGCGAGCTTTTCGCGGATGTCCGCTAGTGTCTGCGGTGGCTGCAACTTTTGCTTCTGCGACTTTTGCTTCTGGCCCTCGCGGGTGGTACACCGACCCCGGCTTCAAAATATTTCCCTGTCTCAAGTCAGAAAATCATTTCTTTTGAATTTTTGTCTGCCCACACACCAGCTCCAACAATCTGACCGCCGCCCCGCTCGGCACCGCACCGACATGCAGCCAATACCTTATCCTATCCACGCTCCACTGGACGGTCTTGTTTTTCTGGCCCAGCTCGACATGCGGGTTGTACACGCCCAGCAGCTCCGCGGGCCGTGCGTCCCGCCGCCCCCCCGTCCACCGCGACCAGGTGGAACACCTTCGCGTGTGCCCGCCCGTGCAGCGCCAGCCGCAGCCGCATTGGCATTGTAGTGGTGGTGGTTAAGAGTAAAGAAGAGGTGGTTACATAATATTGGACAAAATAAAATCAACTACTCGCGTCGGGCCCGTCGCTCCCGGGGATCAGCTGGCGGGGCATAAGGGCAAAGTAAGAGGGAGAAGAAGGGGGCCCACCATGCAGATGTTGTTCCCGTTCAGCAGCGTCTGCGCGAGAGGCTCTTTTTCGTGCGCCCCTCCGCCGTCGTTTCGCTTGCCCCAGTTCAGATACCACAAAGTCAGTCAGCTAGCAGCCACGCACTACTCGGTCACGTCCTCCAGCACCATGTCTGTCCATGTTAACGAGTCCACAAGACCAGCCCGATCCCGCACTCACTCACGAAATCGTCAAACCCAAGCAGCGTCCCCGTGAACTCCCGGTCGTTCTTCATCACCACCCAGATCCGCGACCCGATGCACTTGTCGATGAGCTCTGTTCACAATTCCAGCGTCCTGTTTTTCCAGCAACAACAGCGTACCCAGCGGCAGGATTTGCGACGCCATCAACGTCAAAAGCAACTCAAGATGTCACATTAGATAACACTACAACTAATTCCGGCCAAAACTGAATCCTCCCTGCGGCACACTCGCGTCCGTGAACTGCCCCACGAATCAGCTTTAGTAACAAGTAAAAAAAAAAACACACACCTGGAAAGCCCCCGCCGCGTCAACCGTCGGCGCACTAAACGCCGCGTCGAGGTCCTCTTCCTCAGGGAAGTACTTGTCCATGATATTAAACGCCTTCTTGTAAACATCCAGATTCTCGTGCTGCTGCAGGTTGTGGATCGTGATCATGCCGCCCGCCTCCTCGACATAGTGCGCAAACTGGTTCACCCCGCTCGGCCCCGCCGCCGCCTTGTCCGACTCGCCGATCTTGAGGATGTTGTCCAGCCCGTCCAGCGCGACCTGGATGATCTTGTTGTCCATCATCGTCAGGCGCGGGCGTCTGCAGTCGAGGATACGCGGTTGGGGACCGCTGCCGTACCAAGTCCACGCGGTCACGTGCCACGTGTTTAATTTGGGACTTGCGCGATTTCTACAATAATGCAATAGTTTTGGCTGTAGAAGTTATGAGATGTACCCAAAAACGCGTCAATTAGGGAATTTCGACGCGTGCAATGGATAGACAACCCCATTCTGCACTTTCTGCAATTCTGGGCCAGGGTCTCCTCCCCCGAAGGCACCAGAGCAAGCGCAACAAAAAAAAAAAGTGATGGGAATGATGACCGAACACTCACAGTGGAATAAGCATGGCCTGGGTGGAAGGCGCTGCAACAGAGCTACACACTGTTTGGTGGTCAGATGGCAGCTGAGCTACATGGCAAGCAACAGCACCTACCACCAGTAGAACAACAAGACGATGGGGGAAAGAGGAAGAGTATTTTTCGTGTGACCACTTGGCGTCACCTATTCTCGGAATATTTGATCGGACCTTGCACTGTTATGTTATGGCCCAGACCGTTCAACTCCCGATGTTGCGCAATTTAATTTTAACACTTATTGTGAAAGTGCAGTTCTAGACTCAGGATTCACAATTATCAACAGTATCAGTTGCTGTTGCTTCCTCTCAAGAAAGCTACCGGACTCACTGGTCAATCACAGGTGGCAGTAATATCAATTACTTGGCAACTTCCAATGTTAAGTGGGTAAAAAATCAAATATTTCAAATGTGGGATCTGAGTCAAAGTCTGCTGTTTGGGGTAGTTCACCAGTGAAAAGTGGGTAAAAATCGAACGAAAACTTTTCTTAGTGGGAATTATGACATGTATTTATGTGGAACCTTATACTTCCTAAAATGGCAATTCGGTCCTGATTTAGCCCCCCTAGAATGGTAATTCATAGAAAATAAAAAGTGGGTAAAAATGAATTCAGAGCAATCTTGATGGAAGTCTTGACAAATCCACATATACATGTCAGTGAAAACTAAAACCAAACTTGTTCCAACAAAAAGTAGGTAAAAATCAATTTTTGTAGTCTGACTGAACTAAGGGCCAGGGTTAGTTTGGAAACAGCCTTATCTGCATTCAGTCCCATCCAGTTTGAACTGAAACCCTGAACCAGACCTGGCTATCACTAGAATCTTACATGAGTACCTTCTGGAATAGTCATTTATGAAAAATAAAAAGTGGGTAAAAATGAATTCTGAGCTTTTCTTGATGGAAATTATGACAAATCTGAATCTACATGTCAGACTTGTCCCAATAAAAAGTGGGTAAAAATCAATTTTCATAGTAGGAATTTAGCAGACTTTGGATCTGAACCAAAGTTCCATGTTTGTATTCACCAGCAAAACTGAAATTGATTGAATATGCAGTACTTAGCACTTTCCGAGAATGGTAATTCCTTGACATTTTAGCCTAATTAACAGAGATTCAACTGGAATTACTTCCTGGAATAGTCTAACAAATCCACAGCCAAAACTAGACTTGTCTTAATAAAAAGTGGGTAAAAATCAAATAAATATATATAGGTATGACATACAAATTCAAGAGTTGACACTTCCCGAAATGGCAATTTCTTGACAGTTTTGGATCTGATTTTGGCTTAGATCACTTCCTAAAATGGTAATTTCTTAAATAAAAGAAATACATAAAAGTAGGTAAAAATAGAATCAAATATTAAGTTTGATGTTTGTTCAGGCTGTCAAATCTGGCTTAATGTGCCTGCCAAAAGAGGACTTGGCTTGTTTTCTTAACCAAAGCTTGGTGCTTAGGCCTCAAAAGTCTGGATTTATATGCCAATCAGAACCAACTCAATAAAAAGCTCACAACCATGTCTACAGTGCCAAAACCAGACTTGATCAGAATAAGCCCAATAAAAAGTGTATAAAAATCAAATAAAAATATATATATTAATCAAAGCTTAGAGTTAAAAGTGGGTAAAAATCAAACAACAACAGTGGTTTAAAACCATCAGTAATGGCTTAATGACCTGATTCAACCCTGCACCAACGATAACACCTCTCAACTTGACTTTAACCTGCTCACCTTGCTTGCAGGCCTGATGACTTATCTGTTTTGTTCCGGGCATGTGTTTCTAAGGAGAATCTTGCATGACCCAACCTGAAGCCTGATGATATATAAGATCTTAAGAAAGATTGGTATTTAGAGCAAAGCAGATCAAGATCAGACATCTTCTTGAAAAGGCAATTCTGAAGAATTGATGATGATATCATTTACATCAATCGGAATTGATTTCTGAAGTTCTATTAGCTTACCTTCAACAAGAAATTGTATAGAACAATACTTAGTTGGAAGGTAAGACTTGATAACAAAAGTAGATAAAAATGAACCAAACCTCGGCCCGGGTTCAGCCGTTATAATTCTGACAAGTTGACAACAAAAAGTAGGTAAAAGACTATAAGCTAGAGTACTTTACCTGAACACTATTTTTAAAGGAATTCAAGGAATGTGACCTAGTTGATGTGGCCATTCCCAATTGAAGTACTTCAGAAATCACAGTGGGCACCTCGGGCCATGACAGTTGGGCAGCTGTCACAAAGTTTCATAAGGCAAACGGGTTTTGTCGGGCTTTGCCAGCCGGTCACGTGACCTTATCGCAGGCAAACGCCTGCGGCCAAAAACGGAAATTCACATTCCAACTGCTATTCTATAGCAAGAAATGCTCCGATTTCGCTCAAATTTCAGGAGGACGTGCTTACGTAATCACTCCGTCGACTCAGGCTTTCGTTGGTAGGGAAATCAGCCCCGAAATATATGATTTTCCGAAGGTGTGTTGTTTTGCTTATTCCTGGCATTCTGGGCCAGGGGGTGAGCCGATTCCCTCCAGATTTTCAGCGCTTCACGTGGTGACACATACCACTCACTTCGCCGCTTCTGATTCCCCAAAGAATGCTTTACTCCGCCGTAATTTCATTTAACACCCCAAAGTTCTGTATTTCTCAGCGGTAAAATCGTACCATCTCGGGATGAAACGTACTGGGCATCAAGGGACATCACCCCTGATGTCACTCGCTTGAAGATCTGGGCGCTCCGCTGTCTAGGTATGTCGTATTTCTCTTCCAACTTCCCGTCTTTATTTCTCAAAACTTGGTGCATTGCAGCATGTTCTCAGGTCTGGAACTTGTCCGAGCAAGCAGTAGCATGATACTTCATGTATTCTCATCAGCTATTTGCCTAATACATCGTCGGAAAGCTCTCTAAATGGCACAAAATCGGATTCCACGCCAATTCCGGCAGTGGCGAGATCGCCCAGGTATGATGCGTGTATCCGGAGAGCGATCCCCGTGTATGTCGTAACGTGCCTGTCCCGAGCGCCGACGGGCACTGGGTATAAAACCCAGCCCCAAGTCGGCATTTCCATCAATCCCCTCCTCCCTTTCCCTCTCTCCCACTCTCCTGCTCCTCCAAGTTGACGCTGACAATGTTGCTGTCGTCGTGCCCGTCGTCTTCCTCATTCTAACTTGTGCTGGTCGTTGTCGGCAGGTGACCGGTGAGTGGCCTTTTTGATTTTCTTGTCATCTTGCTAAATATTCGCGTCGGCTAGTTGTTGCCGCGCTCGTGGTCGTTGTCGTCTACGGCCTCAATCACGGCGGTTGAGAGGTTCTTGATTCGCTGCTGACCGGAGTTGCTGTTCTGCGTTACTTGGGCCGCTCCAGCATCGGAAAAGTACGCCGGCATCTTGATCCTCTTCCCGTCTTGCTGATTCGTCTTGGTTGGCCAGCTCTGCCGCGCTCGGGAATCCAGCGGCGACAACCAGCTTTGCGTCGAACGTGTGTTCCGCAATGGTGAGTGCCGATGCTTGCCGTTGTTGTGTCTGTTTTGAATTTTCCCAGTTTGCGCCGAGTTGCTTGGATTCGGCTGGTGGCCGTTGCAGACAGGGCGTCAAGGACGGCGTTCGTTCCATCATTGAGGAGGCTAACACGCCGCGGCTGTCGAAGTCAGCGCGATTTTGATTGGCGTTGGTCGCGTTGAGTTGGCGGGAAGAGCGAGCACATTGTCGGTGTCGTTGCCGGGCAAGAGTATCGGGGACTGTCTTTGGTGAGCATTAACTCAAAACTGTAGACAACCCCATGCTGACCTTGTTCCAGCCATTCTCGGACTTGCTGTTCGTCTCCATCGTCATCCCTCCCGCCCACGCAATTCGTTTCTCCTCCTCCTCCAGTGATCCGTTTGCGGCTGGAGGCGTTGTTTGCCATCCAAAGGTGAGTGGCCTTTTTGATTTGCTTCGCATGTTGCTAAATATTGCTAGTTGTTGCCGCGATGGGGCCGAGGGCGATAGGGCTGCAAATCGGGGTAAGTCATCCCATTCTTCGCGTAAGTTCATGATCTCACCTTGACCAGAAGTATTCGGCGCGTTCAGCAGGCCGGACTCGGCGTTATTTGGAGTTGTAATCGCAACAGACGGCAAAGGTGAGTCGTGTTCTTGATTGTCTCGGCATCTTGCTGAAGTAGTCTTCAAGATATTGTCAGCCGAGCGTTGCCTCCTTCTTCAAGAGCGCCGAAGCAGGCTTTAAATCTGGTCTTGGTGAGTTATCATTCATCGCGCAATGTCACGTTCTCACCATGGCCAAAGGCTTTCGGCGCCAAATGGGCCGGGCTTGTCGTTGCTGCCGTCTTTGGCTTAGACGTTGCGTGACTTATTCAAGCCGACCTCCAAAGTTGTCCCGTTCTGGCGCGATGCATACTTCTGCGCGCGGGGCCGGACTTGTCGCTGTTGATAGGTGAGTTGTCGATATCATCTTTTCCGATGTTGCCTGACCTGTTCCAGTCCAGCTTTATTGGCTCGGCGTTGTTGGTCGTTGTCTTTGCTCATTCGTCGCGTTGGGTTGTTGCCGCGGTGGTCATCGGCCAGAGAAACACGTTGAGCAAAGGTAAGTCCGCTTGATTTGTCGTCGCCGTTTTTCTGATTCGCGTTGGCTGTCGTAGACAGTGTCGCGCGAGTTGCGCTTGAAGGCATCTGGTGGACTGTCGTTGACGACAAGTTGGTGGGGCTGTGGAGGCAACGGATGTGGTTGCTTGTCGGTGAGTTGTTATTACGCCGCCGCCGTCCTTATAGGCTGACTTGCCCAGTTTGCGCCGACTTGCTGTCGGCCCGAATTAAACTCCGGTTGCAGGACCGGGACGGTGGTAGATTTGTCGTCGGTGGAGCAGCACGCGCGGCCGTTTGACATGGGCAACTTAGTATGCCAGAGGAAAAGGGATCAGATCATCGTCGTCGTTGGTGTCGTTTGTCGCCATGTTGATGCTCGTGCTGAGTGTCTCCGCAGAAAGTGCTGTCCTGGTGGTTGGAGATCGAAGCGTGATCGATCGGCGCGGTACCGTGACGCCGAAGACTCGCGTTCCAAAACTTGAAGACTAACACGCTTGAACAGCGGAAGACGAAACTGGAGCTGTAGCACGTGAAAGAGGGCCCACGGCCGACCTCTGCGCGGCCGTCGCTGTTCGACATGACGGGCAGGGCAAAGTGGGACGCGTGGACAAACACGGGCGGGGCAGTCACGAGCAAGGCAGAAGCAGAGGCGCGGTATGTAGCAATCGCGGAGAGTCTGGGCTGGAAGGGACCTTTTGGTGAAGACAACAACTGGGACAACGAAGACAGCGGAGGCGGGGGCAGCGGGATGGGCACGGCGGTGAGCGCGATGGCCCGCCCTGAGGCTGTGCAGGACAACAGTCTGCATGGGCTGGCGGTGGCGAATCGGGCGGACGAGCTTGCGCTGCTGGATGGGTCAGGCGTCGACTGGGACGCGATGAATTCGTGTGTTTTTTTATTAATTTTATTTGTGTGTTTGCTTACGAAGACAGGGCTACACGGCGCTGCACCTCGCAGCGGACAGGGGCCACACGCTGGTGGTCCAGCTGCTGCTGCAGCGCGGGCGGGACCGCAACATCCAGGTGGCATTATATTATTTTTCATTTGTTTATTTCTAAATTCTAATCGTGGCAGGACGAGGACGGGCTGACGGCGGCAGAGCTCGCGGAGGCGGCGGGGCACGACGGAATTGTACGCATGTTGGCTTCGTAGTAGTATATATTATAGCTGGTTAGCGAGCTTTTCGCGGATGTCCGCTAGTGTCTGCGGTGGCTGCAACTTTTGCTTCTGCGACTTTTGCTTCTGGCCCTCGCGCGGGTGGTACACCGACCCCGGCTTCAAAATATTTCCCTGTCTCAAGTCAGAAAATCATTTCTTTTGAATTTTTGTCTGCCCACACACCAGCTCCAACAATCTGACCGCCGCCCCGCTCGGCACCGCACCGACATGCAGCCAATACCTTATCCTATCCACGCTCCACTGGACGGTCTTGTTTTTCTGGCCCAGCTCGACATGCGGGTTGTACACGCCCAGCAGCTCCGCGGGCCGTGCGTCCCGCCGCGCCCGCCCGTCCACCGCGACCAGGTGGAACACCTTCGCGTGTGCCCGCCCGTGCAGCGCCAGCCGCAGCCGCATTGGCATTGTAGTGGTGGTGGTTAAGAGTAAAGAAGAGGTGGTTACATAATATTGGACAAAATAAAATCAACTACTCGCGTCGGGCCCGTCGCTCCCGGGGATCAGCTGGCGGGGCATAAGGGCAAAGTAAGAGGGAGAAGAAGGGGGCCCACCATGCAGATGTTGTTCCCGTTCAGCAGCGTCTGCGCGAGGCTCTTTTTCGTGCGCCCCTCCGCCGTCGTTTCGCTTGCCCCAGTTCAGATACCACAAAGTCAGTCAGCTAGCAGCCACGCACTACTCGGTCACGTCCTCCAGCACCATGTCTGTCCATGTTAACGAGTCCACAAGACCAGCCCGATCCCGCACTCACTCACGAAATCGTCAAACCCAAGCAGCGTCCCCGTGAACTCCCGGTCGTTCTTCATCACCACCCAGATCCGCGACCCGATGCACTTGTCGATGAGCTCTGTTCACAATTCCAGCGTCGTGTTTTTCCAGCAACAACAGCGTACCCAGCGGCAGGATTTGCGACGCCATCAACGTCAAAAGCAAACTCAAGATGTCACATTAGATAACACTACAACTAATTCCGGCCAAAACTGAACCCTCCCTGCGGCACACTCGCGTCCGTGAACTGCCCCACGAATCAGCTTTAGTAACAAGTAAAAAAAAAAACACACACCTGGAAAGCCCCCGCCCGCTCAACCGTCGGGCGCACTAAACGCCGCGTCGAGGTCCTCTTCCTCAGGGAAGTACTTGTCCATGATATTAAACGCCTTCTTGTAAACATCCAGATTCTCGTGCTGCTGCAGGTTGTGGATCGTGATCATGCCGCCCGCCTCCTCGACATAGTGCGCAAACTGGTTCACCCCGCTCGGCCCCGCCGCCCGCCTTGTCCGACTCGCCGATCTTGAGGATGTTGTCCAGCCCGTCCAGCGACCCTGGATGATCTTGTTGTCCATCATCGTCAGGCGCGGGCGTCTGCAGTCGAGGATACGCGGTTGGGGACCGCTGCCGTACCAAGTCCACGCGGTCACGTGCCACGTGTTTAATTTGGGACTTGCGATTTCTACAATAATGCAATAGTTTTGGCTGTAGAAGTTATGAGATGTACCCAAAAACGCGTCAATTAGGGAATTTCGACGCGTGCAATGGATAGACAACCCCATTCTGCACTTTCTGCAATTCTGGGCCAGGGTCTCCCCTCCCGAAGGCACCAGAGCAAGCGCAACAAAAAAAAAAGTGATGGGAATGATGACCGAACACTCACAGTGGAATAAGCATGGCCTGGGTGGAAGGCGCTGCAACAGAGCTACACACTGTTTGGTGGTCAGATGGCAGCTGAGCTACATGGCAAGCAACAGCACCTACCACCAGTAGAACAACAAGACGATGGGGGAAAGAGGAAGAGTATTTTTCGTGTGACCACTTGGCGTCACCTATTCTCGGAATATTTGATCGGACCTTGCACTGTTATGTTATGGCCCAGACCGTTCAACTCCCGATGTTGCGCAATTTAATTTTAACACTTATTGTGAAAGTGCAGTTCTAGACTCAGGATTCACAATTATCAACAGTATCAGTTGCTGTTGCTTCCTCTCAAGAAAGCTACCGGACTCACTGGTCAATCACAGGTGGCAGTAATATCAATTACTTGGCAACTTCCAATGTTAAGTGGGTAAAAAAATCAAATATTTCAAATGTGGGATCTGAGTCAAAGTCTGCTGTTTGGGGTAGTTCACCAGTGAAAAGTGGGTAAAAATCGAACGAAAACTTTTCTTAGTGGGAATTATGACATGTATTTATGTGGAACCTTATACTTCCTAAAATGGCAATTCGGTCCTGATTTAGCCCCCCTAGAATGGTAATTCATAGAAAATAAAAAGTGGGTAAAAATGAATTCAGAGCAATCTTGATGGAAGTCTTGACAAATCCACATATACATGTCAGTGAAAACTAAAACCAAACTTGTTCCAACAAAAAGTAGGTAAAAATCAATTTTTGTAGTCTGACTGAACTAAGGGCCAGGGTTAGTTTGGAAACAGCCTTATCTGCATTCAGTCCCATCCAGTTTGAACTGAAACCCTGAACCAGACCTGGCTATCACTAGAATCTTACATGAGTACCTTCTGGAATAGTCATTTATGAAAAATAAAAAGTGGGTAAAAATGAATTCTGAGCTTTTCTTGATGGAAATTATGACAAATCTGAATCTACATGTCAGACTTGTCCCAATAAAAAGTGGGTAAAAATCAATTTTCATAGTAGGAATTTAGCAGACTTTGGATCTGAACCAAAGTTCCATGTTTGTATTCACCAGCAAAACTGAAATTGATTGAATATGCAGTACTTAGCACTTTCCGAGAATGGTAATTCCTTGACATTTTAGCCTAATTAACAGAGATTCAACTGGAATTACTTCCTGGAATAGTCTAACAAATCCACAGCCAAAACTAGACTTGTCTTAATAAAAAGTGGGTAAAAATCAAATAAATATATATAGGTATGACATACAAATTCAAGAGTTGACACTTCCCGAAATGGCAATTTCTTGACAGTTTTGGATCTGATTTTGGCTTAGATCACTTCCTAAAATGGTAATTTCTTAAATAAAAGAAATACATAAAAGTAGGTAAAAATAGAATCAAATATTAAGTTTGATGTTTGTTCAGGCTGTCAAATCTGGCTTAATGTGCCTGCCAAAAGAGGACTTGGCTTGTTTTCTTAACCAAAGCTTGGTGCTTAGGCCTCAAAAGTCTGGATTTATATGCCAATCAGAACCAACTCAATAAAAAGCTCACAACCATGTCTACAGTGCCAAAACCAGACTTGATCAGAATAAGCCCAATAAAAAGTGTATAAAAATCAAATAAAAATATATATATTAATCAAAGCTTAGAGTTAAAAGTGGGTAAAAATCAAACAACAACAGTGGTTTAAAACCATCAGTAATGGCTTAATGACCTGATTCAACCCTGCACCAACGATAACACCTCTCAACTTGACTTTAACCTGCTCACCTTGCTTGCAGGCCTGATGACTTATCTGTTTTGTTCCGGGCATGTGTTTCTAAGGAGAATCTTGCATGACCCAACCTGAAGCCTGATGATATATAAGATCTTAAGAAAGATTGGTATTTAGAGCAAAGCAGATCAAGATCAGACATCTTCTTGAAAAGGCAATTCTGAAGAATTGATGATGATATCATTTACATCAATCGGAATTGATTTCTGAAGTTCTATTAGCTTACCTTCAACAAGAAATTGTATAGAACAATACTTAGTTGGAAGGTAAGACTTGATAACAAAAGTAGATAAAAATGAACCAAACCTCGGCCCGGGTTCAGCCGTTATAATTCTGACAAGTTGACAACAAAAAGTAGGTAAAAGACTATAAGCTAGAGTACTTTACCTGAACACTATTTTTAAAGGAATTCAAGGAATGTGACCTAGTTGATGTGGCCATTCCCAATTGAAGTACTTCAGAAATCACAGTGGGCACCTCGGGCCATGACAGTTGGGCAGCTGTCACAAAGTTTCATAAGGCAAACGGGTTTTGTCGGGCTTTGCCAGCCGGTCACGTGACCTTATCGCAGGCAAACGCCTGCGGCCAAAAACGGAAATTCACATTCCAACTGCTATTCTATAGCAAGAAATGCTCCGATTTCGCTCAAATTTCAGGAGGACGTGCTTACGTAATCACTCCGTCGACTCAGGCTTTCGTTGGTAGGGAAATCAGCCCCGAAATATATGATTTTCCGAAGGTGTGTTGTTTTGCTTATTCCTGGCATTCTGGGCCAGGGGGTGAGCCGATTCCCTCCAGATTTTCAGCGCTTCACGTGGTGACACATACCACTCACTTCGCCGCTTCTGATTCCCCAAAGAATGCTTTACTCCGCCGTAATTTCATTTAACACCCCAAAGTTCTGTATTTCTCAGCGGTAAAATCGTACCATCTCGGGATGAAACGTACTGGGCATCAAGGGACATCACCCCTGATGTCACTCGCTTGAAGATCTGGGCGCTCCGCTGTCTAGGTATGTCGTATTTCTCTTCCAACTTCCCGTCTTTATTTCTCAAAACTTGGTGCATTGCAGCATGTTCTCAGGTCTGGAACTTGTCCGAGCAAGCAGTAGCATGATACTTCATGTATTCTCATCAGCTATTTGCCTAATACATCGTCGGAAAGCTCTCTAAATGGCACAAAATCGGATTCCACGCCAATTCCGGCAGTGGCGAGATCGCCCAGGTATGATGCGTGTATCCGGAGAGCGATCCCCGTGTATGTCGTAACGTGCCTGTCCCGAGCGCCGACGGGCACTGGGTATAAAACCCAGCCCCAAGTCGGCATTTCCATCAATCCCCTCCTCCCTTTCCCTCTCTCCCACTCTCCTGCTCCTCCAAGTTGACGCTGACAATGTTGCTGTCGTCGTGCCCGTCGTCTTCCTCATTCTAACTTGTGCTGGTCGTTGTCGGCAGGTGACCGGTGAGTGGCCTTTTTGATTTTCTTGTCATCTTGCTAAATATTCGCGTCGGCTAGTTGTTGCCGCGCTCGTGGTCGTTGTCGTCTACGGCCTCAATCACGGCGGTTGAGAGGTTCTTGATTCGCTGCTGACCGGAGTTGCTGTTCTGCGTTACTTGGGCCGCTCCAGCATCGGAAAAGTACGCCGGCATCTTGATCCTCTTCCCGTCTTGCTGATTCGTCTTGGTTGGCCAGCTCTGCCGCGCTCGGGAATCCAGCGGCGACAACCAGCTTTGCGTCGAACGTGTGTTCCGCAATGGTGAGTGCCGATGCTTGCCGTTGTTGTGTCTGTTTTGAATTTTCCCAGTTTGCGCCGAGTTGCTTGGATTCGGCTGGTGGCCGTTGCAGACAGGGCGTCAAGGACGGCGTTCGTTCCATCATTGAGGAGGCTAACACGCCGCGGCTGTCGAAGTCAGCGCGATTTTGATTGGCGTTGGTCGCGTTGAGTTGGCGGGAAGAGCGAGCACATTGTCGGTGTCGTTGCCGGGCAAGAGTATCGGGGACTGTCTTTGGTGAGCATTAACTCAAAACTGTAGACAACCCCATGCTGACCTTGTTCCAGCCATTCTCGGACTTGCTGTTCGTCTCCATCGTCATCCCTCCCGCCCACGCAATTCGTTTCTCCTCCTCCTCCAGTGATCCGTTTGCGGCTGGAGGCGTTGTTTGCCATCCAAAGGTGAGTGGCCTTTTTGATTTGCTTCGCATGTTGCTAAATATTGCTAGTTGTTGCCGCGATGGGGCCGAGGGCGATAGGGCTGCAAATCGGGGTAAGTCATCCCATTCTTCGCGTAAGTTCATGATCTCACCTTGACCAGAAGTATTCGGCGCGTTCAGCAGGCCGGACTCGGCGTTATTTGGAGTTGTAATCGCAACAGACGGCAAAGGTGAGTCGTGTTCTTGATTGTCTCGGCATCTTGCTGAAGTAGTCTTCAAGATATTGTCAGCCGAGCGTTGCCTCCTTCTTCAAGAGCGCCGAAGCAGGCTTTAAATCTGGTCTTGGTGAGTTATCATTCATCGCGCAATGTCACGTTCTCACCATGGCCAAAGGCTTTCGGCGCCAAATGGGCCGGGCTTGTCGTTGCTGCCGTCTTTGGCTTAGACGTTGCGTGACTTATTCAAGCCGACCTCCAAAGTTGTCCCGTTCTGGCGCGATGCATACTTCTGCGCGGGGGCCGGACTTGTCGCTGTTGATAGGTGAGTTGTCGATATCATCTTTTCCGATGTTGCCTGACCTGTTCCAGTCCAGCTTTATTGGCTCGGCGTTGTTGGTCGTTGTCTTTGCTCATTCGTCGCGTTGGGTTGTTGCCGCGGTGGTCATCGGCCAGAGAAACACGTTGAGCAAAGGTAAGTCCGCTTGATTTGTCGTCGCCGTTTTTCTGATTCGCGTTGGCTGTCGTAGACAGTGTCGCGCGAGTTGCGCTTGAAGGCATCTGGTGGACTGTCGTTGACGACAAGTTGGTGGGGCTGTGGAGGCAACGGATGTGGTTGCTTGTCGGTGAGTTGTTATTACGCCGCCGCCGTCCTTATAGGCTGACTTGCCCAGTTTGCGCCGACTTGCTGTCGGCCCGAATTAAACTCCGGTTGCAGGACCGGGACGGTGGTAGATTTGTCGTCGGTGGAGCAGCACGCGCGGCCGTTTGACATGGGCAACTTAGTATGCCAGAGGAAAAGGGATCAGATCATCGTCGTCGTTGGTGTCGTTTGTCGCCATGTTGATGCTCGTGCTGAGTGTCTCCGCAGAAAGTGCTGTCCTGGTGGTTGGAGATCGAAGCGTGATCGATCGGCGCGGTACCGTGACGCCGAAGACTCGCGTTCCAAAACTTGAAGACTAACACGCTTGAACAGCGGAAGACGAAACTGGAGCTGTAGCACGTGAAAGAGGGCCCACGGCCGACCTCTGCGCGGCCGTCGCTGTTCGACATGACGGGCAGGGCAAAGTGGGACGCGTGGACAAACACGGGCGGGGCAGTCACGAGCAAGGCAGAAGCAGAGGCGCGGTATGTAGCAATCGCGGAGAGTCTGGGCTGGAAGGGACCTTTTGGTGAAGACAACAACTGGGACAACGAAGACAGCGGAGGCGGGGGCAGCGGGATGGGCACGGCGGTGAGCGCGATGGCCCGCCCTGAGGCTGTGCAGGACAACAGTCTGCATGGGCTGGCGGTGGCGAATCGGGCGGACGAGCTTGCGCTGCTGGATGGGTCAGGCGTCGACTGGGACGCGCGATGAATTCGTGTGTTTTTTTATTAATTTTATTTGTGTGTTTGCTTACGAAGACAGGGCTACACGGCGCTGCACCTCGCAGCGGACAGGGGCCACACGCTGGTGGTCCAGCTGCTGCTGCAGCGCCGCGCGGACCGCAACATCCAGGTGGCATTATATTATTTTTCATTTGTTTATTTCTAAATTCTAATCGTGGCAGGACGAGGACGGGCTGACGGCGGCAGAGCCTCGCGGAGGCGGCGGGGCACGACGGAATTGTACGCATGTTGGCTTCGTAGTAGTATATATTATAGCTGGTTAGCGAGCTTTTCGCGGATGTCCGCTAGTGTCTGCGGTGGCTGCAACTTTTGCTTCTGCGACTTTTGCTTCTGGCCCTCGCGCGGGTGGTACACCGACCCCGGCTTCAAAATATTTCCCTGTCTCAAGTCAGAAAATCATTTCTTTTGAATTTTTGTCTGCCCACACACCAGCTCCAACAATCTGACCGCCGCCCCGCTCGGCACCGCACCGACATGCAGCCAATACCTTATCCTATCCACGCTCCACTGGACGGTCTTGTTTTTCTGGCCCAGCTCGACATGCGGGTTGTACACGCCCAGCAGCTCCGCGGGCCGTGCGTCCCGCCGCGCCCGCCCGTCCACCGCGACCAGGTGGAACACCTTCGCGTGTGCCCGCCCGTGCAGCGCCAGCCGCAGCCGCATTGGCATTGTAGTGGTGGTGGTTAAGAGTAAAGAAGAGGTGGTTACATAATATTGGACAAAATAAAATCAACTACTCGCGTCGGGCCCGTCGCTCCCGGGGATCAGCTGGCGGGGCATAAGGGCAAAGTAAGAGGGAGAAGAAGGGGGCCCACCATGCAGATGTTGTTCCCGTTCAGCAGCGTCTGCGCGAGGCTCTTTTTCGTGCGCCCCTCCGCCGTCGTTTCGCTTGCCCCAGTTCAGATACCACAAAGTCAGTCAGCTAGCAGCCACGCACTACTCGGTCACGTCCTCCAGCACCATGTCTGTCCATGTTAACGAGTCCACAAGACCAGCCCGATCCCGCACTCACTCACGAAATCGTCAAACCCAAGCAGCGTCCCCGTGAACTCCCGGTCGTTCTTCATCACCACCCAGATCCGCGACCCGATGCACTTGTCGATGAGCTCTGTTCACAATTCCAGCGTCGTGTTTTTCCAGCAACAACAGCGTACCCAGCGGCAGGATTTGCGACGCCATCAACGTCAAAAGCAAACTCAAGATGTCACATTAGATAACACTACAACTAATTCCGGCCAAAACTGAACCCTCCCTGCGGCACACTCGCGTCCGTGAACTGCCCCACGAATCAGCTTTAGTAACAAGTAAAAAAAAAAACACACACCTGGAAAGCCCCCGCCGCGTCAACCGTCGGCGCACTAAACGCCGCGTCGAGGTCCTCTTCCTCAGGGAAGTACTTGTCCATGATATTAAACGCCTTCTTGTAAACATCCAGATTCTCGTGCTGCTGCAGGTTGTGGATCGTGATCATGCCGCCCGCCTCCTCGACATAGTGCGCAAACTGGTTCACCCCGCTCGGCCCCGCCGCCGCCTTGTCCGACTCGCCGATCTTGAGGATGTTGTCCAGCCCGTCCAGCGCGACCTGGATGATCTTGTTGTCCATCATCGTCAGGCGCGGGCGTCTGCAGTCGAGGATACGCGGTTGGGGACCGCTGCCGTACCAAGTCCACGCGGTCACGTGCCACGTGTTTAATTTGGGACTTGCGCGATTTCTACAATAATGCAATAGTTTTGGCTGTAGAAGTTATGAGATGTACCCAAAAACGCGTCAATTAGGGAATTTCGACGGTGCAATGGATAGACAACCCCATTCTGCACTTTCTGCAATTCTGGGCCAGGGTCTCCCCCTCCCGAAGGCACCAGAGCAAGCGCAACAAAAAAAAAAGGGGGTTGGGAATGATGACCGAACACTCACAGTGGAATAAGCATGGCCTGGGTGGAAGGCGCTGCAACAGAGCTACACACTGTTTGGTGGTCAGATGGCAGCTGAGCTACATGGCAAGCAACAGCACCTACCACCAGTAGAACAACAAGACGATGGGGGGAAAGAGGAAGAGTATTTTTCGTGTGACCACTTGGCGTCACCTATTCTCGGAATATTTGATCGGACCTTGCACTGTTATGTTATGGCCCAGACCGTTCAACTCCCGATGTTGCGCAATTTAATTTTAACACTTATTGTGAAAGTGCAGTTCTAGACTCAGGATTCACAATTATCAACAGTATCAGTTGCTGTTGCTTCCTCTCAAGAAAGCTACCGGACTCACTGGTCAATCACAGGTGGCAGTAATATCAATTACTTGGCAACTTCCAATGTTAAGTGGGTAAAAAATCAAATATTTCAAATGTGGGATCTGAGTCAAAGTCTGCTGTTTGGGGTAGTTCACCAGTGAAAAGTGGGTAAAAATCGAACGAAAACTTTTCTTAGTGGGAATTATGACATGTATTTATGTGGAACCTTATACTTCCTAAAATGGCAATTCGGTCCTGATTTAGCCCCCCTAGAATGGTAATTCATAGAAAATAAAAAGTGGGTAAAAATGAATTCAGAGCAATCTTGATGGAAGTCTTGACAAATCCACATATACATGTCAGTGAAAACTAAAACCAAACTTGTTCCAACAAAAAGTAGGTAAAAATCAATTTTTGTAGTCTGACTGAACTAAGGGCCAGGGTTAGTTTGGAAACAGCCTTATCTGCATTCAGTCCCATCCAGTTTGAACTGAAACCCTGAACCAGACCTGGCTATCACTAGAATCTTACATGAGTACCTTCTGGAATAGTCATTTATGAAAAATAAAAAGTGGGTAAAAATGAATTCTGAGCTTTTCTTGATGGAAATTATGACAAATCTGAATCTACATGTCAGACTTGTCCCAATAAAAAGTGGGTAAAAATCAATTTTCATAGTAGGAATTTAGCAGACTTTGGATCTGAACCAAAGTTCCATGTTTGTATTCACCAGCAAAACTGAAATTGATTGAATATGCAGTACTTAGCACTTTCCGAGAATGGTAATTCCTTGACATTTTAGCCTAATTAACAGAGATTCAACTGGAATTACTTCCTGGAATAGTCTAACAAATCCACAGCCAAAACTAGACTTGTCTTAATAAAAAGTGGGTAAAAATCAAATAAATATATATAGGTATGACATACAAATTCAAGAGTTGACACTTCCCGAAATGGCAATTTCTTGACAGTTTTGGATCTGATTTTGGCTTAGATCACTTCCTAAAATGGTAATTTCTTAAATAAAAGAAATACATAAAAGTAGGTAAAAATAGAATCAAATATTAAGTTTGATGTTTGTTCAGGCTGTCAAATCTGGCTTAATGTGCCTGCCAAAAGAGGACTTGGCTTGTTTTCTTAACCAAAGCTTGGTGCTTAGGCCTCAAAAGTCTGGATTTATATGCCAATCAGAACCAACTCAATAAAAAGCTCACAACCATGTCTACAGTGCCAAAAACCAGACTTGATCAGAATAAGCCCAATAAAAAGTGTATAAAAATCAAATAAAAATATATATATTAATCAAAGCTTAGAGTTAAAAGTGGGTAAAAATCAAACAACAACAGTGGTTTAAAACCATCAGTAATGGCTTAATGACCTGATTCAACCCTGCACCAACGATAACACCTCTCAACTTGACTTTAACCTGCTCACCTTGCTTGCAGGCCTGATGACTTATCTGTTTTGTTCCGGGCATGTGTTTCTAAGGAGAATCTTGCATGACCCAACCTGAAGCCTGATGATATATAAGATCTTAAGAAAGATTGGTATTTAGAGCAAAGCAGATCAAGATCAGACATCTTCTTGAAAAGGCAATTCTGAAGAATTGATGATGATATCATTTACATCAATCGGAATTGATTTCTGAAGTTCTATTAGCTTACCTTCAACAAGAAATTGTATAGAACAATACTTAGTTGGAAGGTAAGACTTGATAACAAAAGTAGATAAAAATGAACCAAACCTCGGCCCGGGTTCAGCCGTTATAATTCTGACAAGTTGACAACAAAAAGTAGGTAAAAGACTATAAGCTAGAGTACTTTACCTGAACACTATTTTTAAAGGAATTCAAGGAATGTGACCTAGTTGATGTGGCCATTCCCAATTGAAGTACTTCAGAAATCACAGTGGGCACCTCGGGCCATGACAGTTGGGCAGCTGTCACAAAGTTTCATAAGGCAAACGGGTTTTGTCGGGCTTTGCCAGCCGGTCACGTGACCTTATCGCAGGCAAACGCCTGCGGCCAAAAACGGAAATTCACATTCCAACTGCTATTCTATAGCAAGAAATGCTCCGATTTCGCTCAAATTTCAGGAGGACGTGCTTACGTAATCACTCCGTCGACTCAGGCTTTCGTTGGTAGGGAAATCAGCCCCGAAATATATGATTTTCCGAAGGTGTGTTGTTTTGCTTATTCCTGGCATTCTGGGCCAGGGGGTGAGCCGATTCCCTCCAGATTTTCAGCGCTTCACGTGGTGACACATACCACTCACTTCGCCGCTTCTGATTCCCCAAAGAATGCTTTACTCCGCCGTAATTTCATTTAACACCCCAAAGTTCTGTATTTCTCAGCGGTAAAATCGTACCATCTCGGGATGAAACGTACTGGGCATCAAGGGACATCACCCCTGATGTCACTCGCTTGAAGATCTGGGCGCTCCGCTGTCTAGGTATGTCGTATTTCTCTTCCAACTTCCCGTCTTTATTTCTCAAAACTTGGTGCATTGCAGCATGTTCTCAGGTCTGGAACTTGTCCGAGCAAGCAGTAGCATGATACTTCATGTATTCTCATCAGCTATTTGCCTAATACATCGTCGGAAAGCTCTCTAAATGGCACAAAATCGGATTCCACGCCAATTCCGGCAGTGGCGAGATCGCCCAGGTATGATGCGTGTATCCGGAGAGCGATCCCCGTGTATGTCGTAACGTGCCTGTCCCGAGCGCCGACGGGCACTGGGTATAAAACCCAGCCCCAAGTCGGCATTTCCATCAATCCCCTCCTCCCTTTCCCTCTCTCCCACTCTCCTGCTCCTCCAAGTTGACGCTGACAATGTTGCTGTCGTCGTGCCCGTCGTCTTCCTCATTCTAACTTGTGCTGGTCGTTGTCGGCAGGTGACCGGTGAGTGGCCTTTTTGATTTTCTTGTCATCTTGCTAAATATTCGCGTCGGCTAGTTGTTGCCGCGCTCGTGGTCGTTGTCGTCTACGGCCTCAATCACGGCGGTTGAGAGGTTCTTGATTCGCTGCTGACCGGAGTTGCTGTTCTGCGTTACTTGGGCCGCTCCAGCATCGGAAAAGTACGCCGGCATCTTGATCCTCTTCCCGTCTTGCTGATTCGTCTTGGTTGGCCAGCTCTGCCGCGCTCGGGAATCCAGCGGCGACAACCAGCTTTGCGTCGAACGTGTGTTCCGCAATGGTGAGTGCCGATGCTTGCCGTTGTTGTGTCTGTTTTGAATTTTCCCAGTTTGCGCCGAGTTGCTTGGATTCGGCTGGTGGCCGTTGCAGACAGGGCGTCAAGGACGGCGTTCGTTCCATCATTGAGGAGGCTAACACGCCGCGGCTGTCGAAGTCAGCGCGATTTTGATTGGCGTTGGTCGCGTTGAGTTGGCGGGAAGAGCGAGCACATTGTCGGTGTCGTTGCCGGGCAAGAGTATCGGGGACTGTCTTTGGTGAGCATTAACTCAAAACTGTAGACAACCCCATGCTGACCTTGTTCCAGCCATTCTCGGACTTGCTGTTCGTCTCCATCGTCATCCCTCCCGCCCACGCAATTCGTTTCTCCTCCTCCTCCAGTGATCCGTTTGCGGCTGGAGGCGTTGTTTGCCATCCAAAGGTGAGTGGCCTTTTTGATTTGCTTCGCATGTTGCTAAATATTGCTAGTTGTTGCCGCGATGGGGCCGAGGGCGATAGGGCTGCAAATCGGGGTAAGTCATCCCATTCTTCGCGTAAGTTCATGATCTCACCTTGACCAGAAGTATTCGGCGCGTTCAGCAGGCCGGACTCGGCGTTATTTGGAGTTGTAATCGCAACAGACGGCAAAGGTGAGTCGTGTTCTTGATTGTCTCGGCATCTTGCTGAAGTAGTCTTCAAGATATTGTCAGCCGAGCGTTGCCTCCTTCTTCAAGAGCGCCGAAGCAGGCTTTAAATCTGGTCTTGGTGAGTTATCATT